AGAAAACTCACTTTTTTCCTGGTCACTTAAGAATAGGACAGTGATTTAGAACCTAATCTGGAAAATGGCACATTATAACCACTAGTTTTTTTTATTTTTTCTGATATCAGTAATCCCCCCTTACACACTTGTTTGAATATTGTGGTATAAAATAGTGACTAATCACTTGGGGAAACGGATGAAGCAGGTTGATAATCTGCTGATACACTGTTTGTTTTTCCTTGTGGATGGTGATTAAAAAAGGTAGTTCCATTATAATCCTTAATGCGATTACTCATGTGGATATGGTTTACATGAATAAAGACTGCTTATGTGCCTACTTTGAAAGACTGGGTCACTTTAGTATTTCATATGGGACATCTTCCTGATTATACCCAAGATGGCAGCAAGGTCACAGTTTGTATAATATTAGATGTAATATGGATTGAAACTCATGGCTAAGAGTCATTTCCACTCCTCTCCTTATTGCTGATCTGTTGCTTCTTGTTTCAACTAAAGCTTTGGTTTTGCGAAAAGCTTTAAAAACCACACAGACACAAGCAAACAAAGCGTTGCGTACTTTACATAGTCTCTCTGACCTCAGAGGAATTACCTGAAATGGAGTAAAAGAAGATACATTTATTTCATGTAGGAGTGCAGAGCTGCAGTGCCTGTAAGCCGCTATAGGAACTGGTTTCCGCAGGCGGAGGTAATCGTGTGTCCGTGGCTGCCTGCTCCTGCTGCTTGCCTATGGCTGAAACTGCTGCTCATTAGTCTCTGCACCCAGCTGTAGGAGCTAAACCGGTAGAGAACCAACTCTACAAAAAAAGGGGATATTCTTCTGCCAGTCTAAATCCCTGGTTTACCATTGTCACCATCAAATGACAATGTTCATGCAAGCAGGGGATGAAAGAGTGTGGGAAAAGGGACAAGGGGTCTTCTTTTTCTTCCAGTAGCTGTTAGTCATTAGATGGGTTTAGCTGTATCACCCACTTGTGCCTGTGTCTTTGCAGAGAGCATGACAGAGCCTTTTTGATGGTTTTTTTCACTGTTTGTACGTGGCTACTGCAATGATGGGGAACCTGAGGACAGAAATAGCCTGTGACTTTATTTCGTCTAGTCCATGGAAACATGATTTCTTCCTCTATGATAAAGGCCAGTGTATGTGTTAACGCATGACCCGTGCAACTCTCAAGAAAGAAAATATTCAAATTGCCGAGCAGGTGGGTGGCAGACTTGGACATGAACGTTTAAGTGGCAAGGCTCGGAAATGGTGGTCATAATAAACAATGGAATTCAGAAGAATTTCCTTGATTTAATGCTAGGTTTGTGTATAACACTGCATCTACACTAAATACCTTATATTCATATTTGTGAGTTGCAAAATACTAATCTTGAACTGTATCCTGGAACAAACTTCCCACAGAAGTAGAGGAGTAAGGGCCGTAACTTAGTGCTAGTGCATGGTGCAGATACGACTGAAGTTTCATTCACCTGAAGGAAAGAAATTTAAAGGTGCCATGAAGGAACAAGAACAGGTAGAATTTTTATATATTTAAAGGTCTTTGCTGTGTATGTTTAAACATACTCTTTAAGTGCATTCAATTTTATGTAAAATGCAGAATAATAATTACTTAGCTTTATTTTTTTCCAAGAGCGTGATTATGAACACTTACAATTTTGGTGTACCAATATCATACTGATTTATGAGATAGCTATTGATGATTTTACTACATGAAAAATGCTATAAAAGTGGCAGGTTAATTACAGGATATACCGCTAATGGGTGAGATATGGTTATGTCTGTTTTCCAAGTGATGATTTCATAATACAGTGTTACGTCTTCTGGAAGATAATATATACATATATTATACATATATTACGTTATGCATAATCATCAGGAAAACTTCACAGTCTGTACACGTAGATATCTCTGAGTCTCTTTCTTCAGTCCTTCTTCACATTGATTTCAGGAAGGATTACTTGCATTAGCAGAGAATGCAGGGCTGAGTGTTTGCAGTGGTTTTGAATAATGAATTTCTGTAGGATTCCAAAAATGACATTCAGTTCCTCAAACATTTTCTGCAAAGCAAGCAGCATACTTTGAAGTCTGTGCTAGGAGAAAAAGAAACAAAACCAAAATGTGAATCTCCTAAAGTAGTATCCTCCTTTCGTGGAATGGTTCAGTGGCTTAATGAGGTTAATTTGTATTAGGTTGTGGGAAATCCTTTATCTACTGTATAGAGGCTTTCGTTTCACATGAATGTGACAGATACTGTACTTACTGCACTGGAACTTAATTATTTGATAGCATAAGGAGTTGAAATCCCTACATTTCCTCTCAAGGAATATTCATTTTGTGCTCTACATGGTAAATAGAAACTAGAGGATGGTTGGCCTAGATTTTCAATGCCTGAAATATCTTTGTATACTTTTCTAAGTTGTTTTGGTTTTATACCTAGAAAATTTCAAAGCAGCTTTGTTAAAGATTCCCCAAATACTATCAATAGTATGTGATTATTTTTTGTTCTCTCCCATTTTTCATGTATCTTTCCACCCTTTGAAATGCTTTTCCGTACTGCACATGAATTTAAGTGACTGTTTCATTTAATTACACTCTTTTTTTCCCTAAAAGTCTTAAAATGCCTGATTTTCTCTCCCTAATTACTACAGAACAAGTCTTTCAAAAGTTTTGTTTTAGTATGAACATTTCCCTCACAGAATTTTATAGCAGTTCTTTTAACTGGCTTCCATTCCAGATGGCTATTGGTGCACATTGTAATTTGTTTTCTCTTAGCAGGTATATTATGGCATTTCTGTAGACCTGGTAGAGCAGTGTAAAGCTATTGAATACAAGAGCGAGGAAACAAAATTTCAGGATCAGTGATACACATCAGAATACAAATAAGGACTGAAAACTAATCTAGTGAAAAATTAAGTGGGATAAAGTTCACATCCTACCACTAAATTGACTTTCTTTTGTAGATTCAGTGTCTGGGGTTTTTATGTACCTTTCAAAAAATACAAATTAGTGAATTTGTGTTATCATGTGTGTGTATAAGATGTGTAATTGCCTATCAAAATTAAAATTAATGTGAACTTACACAAGCAGCGTGTGTTTGTTCTACTATATATTATATATTTGAAATATATCTTGGAATAATTTTTTTATCATATTCACAAATAAAAAAAGTTATAACTGTTTTATTGAGAAAAATGAATGTGTTTATTTAAATTGTTTTATTGGCATATATACCAGTGAAATTGTTTGGAAAATAATCAAAAGTAATTTTTGCAGCAGACTGTGCTAGTAGCTGTAAAAATATTTGCTCATCATCAAAGGTATGAAAATGCCAGAGATTGCAAAGTTCAGGCAGATAGTATGAACTGCTTTCCTCATCCTCTATTGAATTAAAAATGATAAATAGTTAAAAAACAAAGAAAAGCATTTTTATGCAAAAAGATTTTTTTTTGTCTCCTAGATTTCTGATTTATGTGTAATGTTTCAGCATATCACAATATGCCGGATCACGGGTTAATTGTTCACATTGTGTTATATCATTTCAGCTGTAGTACAGCATGATGTGGTGGAGTGTAATCTAACCTGACATAGAAGGATGCAGCGAGTGATGACAAAGATCGCAGACTGTTCAGTGGACTTTGTTCTACTGAAAAATGCATAATTGCCTGAATGAAATGTTTGCTAGTTTATGTTTTGTTGATGAAGACCCGGAGTCTAATTGCTGCCTGTGGCTTTGCCTCTAGGCATGTTCTTGGGGTCCATAGCCTACATCAAGTTTGTTTTCCTTCCTCAGGCTGATATTGTGCAATAACAACTGAGTGGATCCAGAGATCGGTGTTGGGCTCCTGAAAGCCTGTTAGTAGGGCCTTCTCCTCGTGGAAACTCTCGTTTATTGTTTGCCATTAGGGATATAAAAGGTAGCTGAAGCATTCAGTACATAGGCATTGCATAAAGCATACAAAAAGTTAAACAGCAGCAGAAGTAGAGGACTTAGGGGTGCTGTTAAAACCCATATTGCTTTGCATAATTAATATTCCTCCCTACACAAGGTTGTAGGTCAGTACCAGCTAAAAGTTCAGATTTCTTTCTCCCTTCCTTCTGATGGATACGAACCATCCCCAGAAATATCTTGTATCAGTAACCCCTGAAAATTCAGTTAAAATGACTTTTTCTGAACTCCAGATCCTTCGGTAACTGGCTGCTGAACCAGAAAGGGTAGTCTGGTAGCTCCCCTCTTACCAAACTGGTCCTCTCGCAGGACTCCAGTAGCATGATTCTGGTGATCAGTTAGAGCAGCATGGGTGGGGGTGATGGCTACTGGACATGGCATAATGAAGATTGTCCTTTTGCCTCCCTTGTTTGAAAAATTTGGTTCCCTGTGTTCTCAGACTTACTTTGCAGTGCCAGGCAGAAAGGCTTAAAATGTGATTCCTTAGCAGATTTTATTCCTGGGTTTTGTTTGAGGGCTCTCCCTGTATTCTGCCAGTTCTTCTCTGTCCATCTGCAGGAAGGTTTGGGGATATCATATGAAAAACTGCATCTGCCATGGACATAAAGTCTGGAAACACAGATTCTGAAAACATATGCATGTACGGGTATTTTAACATTGATACACTTCCATTTCAAAGTTTCTCCCTTGCGGAAAAAGAAAAAAAAAATCTTGGAAAAGATACCCAGCTGTTTATGGGAGTCCAGAAATTAATATAGTTTCTAGGTTAGTTTTATAATGTTTCTGCTTCCCGCTTCACTGGAACAGTCCCATACGCAGCCTTCTCCAATTGTTCTTTTTTAGCCAGTGTTTTCTGCCTGAGATAGTTATACTACATTTGGAAAAGAAATCAAGTTTACATTCTTGTGTTAGTACCATTGCAATTCTAGTTTCATGCGTGGCAGATTGCCTTACAGAGCCAAGTTTAATGCATTTCTAATTAAAAAACCCCCAAACAGTATGATGCTACCTTGCAATGTTATAAAATTGCTCATCTTCTTATTTTCACAGCTCACCATGTTAAAACGGGGACCTGTGAAGTGGTGGCACTCCACAGATGTTGCAATAAGAACAAGATAGAAGAAAGATCACAGACGGTGAAGTGCTCCTGCTTCCCTGGGCAGGTAGCAGGTACCACCCGGGCAGCTCCTTCTTGTGTTGATGGTGCGACTACTTCTATTGCTTCCTTTCATTGTGTGTTCCTAGGGGGTTTTGCTGGCTTAATGTCATCAGTGAGAACCACTCCATTACAGTTAACTATTTAAAATAAGAGTAGGAAAGCTTCTGCCGTTTGAAGGGCATGCCCAAGGTGAATGGGAGGAAGACGGGAAAAATGAATTATTTGCTATTACTCCATGGAAATGCTAAGCAAAATTATTAGATGGCAGTGAAAGAGACCTCTTGAGAAGCTAAATTTGACCTAACTAACAGAGTGCCGTCGGAGTTGTATGAAATTCACTTAATTAAAAGTGTTTATGCAAAATCTACATGAGCATATATCATTTTCATGTGCTGCAGTCTTACATTTTATTTATATATTTATTTTTATCATACAGGAACAAACAAGCAAACAAACAGCACAGTTCTGGCTGGTTTTTAGTCTTTTTAGAACAATACTATTTTTCCTGTTCACAGTGCAATATTAATGTTTTACTTAACAAATCCGGCATAGGCTCATATGTTTTATTTGGGAAAATACTAGCTGAATTTTTCACATCTCTTTCTCTGAAAGAGAAGCAGGATGGATTCACCCTTTACATGATCTCTTTAGTGTTGATATGTTGATGGCTGTCAGAGAAGCTGTAAATATGTCATCACTGGGGAATAAATTTAATCAGGCTGTGCTAGACTATGTAGTAGATCAGGCAAAATATACTAACTCAAAAGAAGAAATTTCTGCTTAAAACTTTGAAATCTGACTGAGCAAGAAAAAATGAGGGTTGGAAAGAAATGCTGTGAAATTAGTTCCTGAGCTGCAGTAAATTAGAAAAAAGCCACAGGAAAGAGATTGACTTTGAAGCACAGAGCACCTTGTGCAAATTGAGACCTAATTTCTTATGAAGGTTCTGAGCTGGCTGAAAATCACAGACTAGCTGTCAGTCAATATATTTTTAACATTTTCCTGGAAAATAAATGTTGCAACATAATGTCATATTAAAGTGTCCATTTCAACAACATGCAAATGTGTTTTCCTCTCTTGTAGCTTCAATAGTGGAGCAGAAATGGTGGTGCCACATGCAACCATGTCTTGAAGGGGAGGAATGTAAAGTTCTTCCAGATCGTAAGGGATGGAGCTGTTCCTCTGGGAATAAAGTAAAAACAACTAGGGTAGGTATGATACCAACCTGACATGTTACCAACAAGTAAAAAAAAAAAGTGCACAGGAAATTGGGTGCACATAGAAGACATGAGTTGAGAAGACTAAAGAAGTGTGGGAAGAGAGTCATACTGGGATTGGACTTCCTGGTCCTGCACACTTTTCTCAGCATGCTTTGCAATTGCTTGAACATGGTAAGCAGTGTGCCAGACCTTCTCAGGTAAGCAGTGGAGATAGTAGAGTTGACCCCTTTTTCAACTACCAGTTATGACCAAATGTATTATAATCCGATATGTATTTCTCTCTGAAACCAGTTGCACAAAGTCTATATGCCTTGCTAAGCTCTTCATTCACAGGATGGCAAACAAGTGCATTTTTATTAATAACATGGAATTACCATGTTTCTACATAGAAACCGCTGAGCATGGTACGCATTTGATGTGTCATTATAAGTATGATCTTTCCGTCTCTTATGACTGGGATTTACTAAAAAAATTTAGCAGAATTTCAGTGAGTTCCTTTTCTCCATTTGACATTTTTTGTATTATTGGTTCAAAATTACATTAACAGAAACACATCTAATGTTCATCATATACAATGCCTGAAAACAAGGTAAACATGCTGTCATCTCTGCTTTTTAGTGGCTAAGAGGAACAGAAGAATAACAAATTCTTCAGATAAGCATTAAGCACTCAAACTTCCTAAAACTACAGCATTGTATCTCTACAGGGTCAACACAGTTCTTCATCAACATAAAACAGATTAAAATGCACTCTGAAGATTCACATGCATGTGTGTAAGCGTAAACACCTTCACCCCTACACCTCACCACACATACTGATGGCTGGTTTTGCTTGTCAGTATTTAGCAATTGTTTGTAATGTCAGGCCATGATTTACTAGTGTGGTGTTTAGTCTGTGCAGGTGTTTGAGTGTCCATGTCATTTGACTGAAATCTTCCTTACATAGGCACTAAATTTCTGGTACACCTTGGTTGTCGTGAAATATAGCGTGCACTGACTGAATTACATTCCTTCTGTTCCACAGAGAGCCCTACATGTCTCAGTTTCTGTATGTATAAGTCTTTAAAACATTTTGACATTCCTTGAAGGAAGGATACTTCCTAAATGTTTGATATAAAATTCCACTCCTGAATCCTCTTTCAGATGTGTTTCTTCTGAAGCTAAACATGCTTGAATGCTGCCCACATTAACTTTGTACATGCCAATGCAAATCTGATTATATGCATGTAAAATGTGTATGCATGTATAACATAACCAAAAGACACTAGATAGAATTTAATAATAGTAATAGAAATAGAAAAAGAATTATGTGTGTGTGTGTTTTGAAATTTGTCTTGGCTGCTACTACTTGGCACTATTAGTGTGAAGGAATGCATGCCATTTTATATGTATTGGGAGTGTTTAACAAGCAAGAAGTAAAATGTGGCTCCAGATTACATTTCTGTAGGAAAAAACAAGTCACAAAAGGGCGAGATATCAATTAGAATCACCTTGAGGAGATTTCTTCCTAACATTTTGTCAGAAGATAGGTTTTTGTGCATTGATCTAGGTTATGAAGTTCTGTCCACTGTTAGGAACAAGGCTCTTGTCTCCATGGGCTTATGCCTCTGTTGCAGACTTGCATGTCTGGCTTTTTGCAGGAGTTGGACTTTTCTTGTCCTCCATGGATGGTGGCAATCCTCAGGACTCATTTCATACCTCCTCAGAAGTGAAGCTATGAAAAAGCCAGTCCTTTTCTTTATTTGCCATCATACGTACTGATTCAGTACAATGGCTACCGTAACCTGCTTGCAGACCTGCCACCACTAGAAGGAAAGTACTAATCCCCTTAAATTCCCCACTATTTGTTCTGCCTTCTGGTTTGTCCAGATGATGTACGTTGCCCCCTTCTCCCTTCATTTCCCACATATCTGCAAAACAAACTTGAATTCAAATTTCTGACTGAAAGTTGGTCTAAGTTGTTGAAACCAGGTGGCAGGTGAATGAAAGTCTCTTTCCAGATGCAGGGGGCCGAGATTTTAACAGACATCGTTCTGATGCTCAGAAAAATACACATAGCTATTGGAAATGTGAGCAATTCTTTGTGTTAAGAGAGTGGCTTATTATCAAAAAGCAAGTACTTTTCCCTAATATGTAGTGACTACAATATTTTTGTAGCTCCTCTTTCTGCTCCACAAAGTCTATATAAATAAAAGGAAAAATTCTAAAGTGCTCTGTGGTTTCAAAACCCCCTTTTTAGAGAAAAATGAAAAGAACTGTACAGATTGTCAGTATTAAGAAGTCACGAATAGTAAGTTTCTGATTGTCAAATAAAATAACACATGTGATTATCATGTATAATGTAAAAGCATAAAGTAACAAAGGGAACTGAACAGCTTGGGTGATTTAAGTGTATTGCAGGAAAGCCTTGTAAAGGCTTTCCTGAAAGGCCTAAGAAAGTCTCTATTCACCTCCAAACATTTTCTGTAAGTTTGCCTCCTCCTTGTGCAGAAAAAGTAACCCAATTAACCACTGAAGTACTATCTTCTCTTCTACAGTATACCAAGTTCAAAAGCAGCACCTATGTTTCCACATCTCGAGCTGTTAATATTTAGGCATTATGTTAGAGATAAAACCAGAGGTATTCTGCTTGTCCACCTCTGTTAGCATATTTAATCACTCTATTGTAAAAAATGATGATACCAACTTCTTAATACTTATGGTATCAGTCATTAAGCAAAAAGGCCAAGTGAATAATAGGAGAAAACAAATACATTTTTTAAAATGTGGTCTACTTGAGGTTTTGCATTTTGTCCAGATATGAGGATCTAATAAGGTAATACATTAATAATGGATTTGAAATAGCACAAATGTTATGGTACTCAGAATTCAAATGCTAAGAAAAGTCAGGTGGAAATTATTTACCTTCAGAATGCAAAACCAGGTATTATAGAAAGATTAAACTTTTTCCTAATTTGTCTACATATTAGTGGGAGAGGGCTGACATTAGGAGTTAACCATGGAAAAGGAATGAATGTGGGGGGGGAATGTGTGTCTGAATAAGCTGAGTGCTGAGTTAACTTGTGCTGGTTTAGAATTGACTGCTTAGGTTCTGTGTATCCTGCAGGAGGGGAAGGGGAGGAAAGTCAATGACAATTTTGCTAAAAAGGTAATTTTTTTGACTTCATATAAAGAAATGCGTGTTTGCGTTCCTGACCATTATGCCACAACAAAGTGGATGTTCAGGAACACAAGGAGAATGATGAAATGATTATATGCGTAGCTAAGACATACCGGGCGCATTGTGGCGTTCTCCTCCAGACTGAGAAACTGTTGTGAGAGGAAGCAATTGAATTTTTCCGATATGGCTAGCCTCAATGTTTTGATAAATAAACACAAAAATTTTGTCAGGTTGCCATCTTCAAATGATGACAAAAGTGTTTAAAAAGGGGGAAAATCCAAAGAATATTTTTTTTACCTTTGAAATATTTTTTCTTCTTACAGCCTTTTTCTAATATAGTTATTTTCATTCAAAAAGCTCCCTTGGTTGTGTTTCCTTTCCTTTTTGCAAAATAAGGAAAATGTCTATTTAAAACAGAGGAATTTTCGCATTAGTTGAAAACCACAAAATATAGCAGTATTATGTATAAAATGGACAATGACATTAAAAAAATGCTACGAGTTTGTATTAAACAAAGGAGCCCTTTACGAAGACTGGAAAACAACATTTTGTGGTCAGATAAGAGCTGAGGAGAAAGAATTTCATGTTTCTCTCAGTTACAGGGTGTATTCCACACCAGAGGTGTCTGGATAGGGATTTTTCAAGGGCAGATCCAGATGCCAGGCTTTACTTGTATTTTTAAGAAGAGTACATTGCCCGTTATCTTTATAATAGAGGCTGAATTTAAATAACAGCACGAGAAGCTGCATGTAACCTGCATGAAAGTGCATGCTGCAATTCCTCCTGGGGTCCCGGTTCCCCAGGCATCCACCCTGGGACTACCTTGGAGCATGCCATGGCTCCTGGGCAGCCCATAAACCCGAGTGTCTTTCCTGCAGAAACTAGAGCACAGGAACGCAGGTACAGTGGTGCATCCTGGGTCTCATCTTGAGATCCTGGAGCTGCGACATGACTAAAGAAATGTGCACTTGTGCCCAGGAGTGGGGAAGTGTCCCTGGGCTGATATTTTGTGAAGATATAGAGAAATATGCGTCGATGTTTTTCATGTGAAATAGAATACAATAGCATAGAATAGACTATTTCAGTTGGAAGGGACCTACAATGATCATCTAGTCCAACTGCCTGACCAGTTCAGGGCTCACCAAGCTAAAGTATGTTATTAAGGGCATTGTCCAAATGCCTCTTCAACACTGACAGGCTTGGGGCATCGACCACCTCTCCAGGAAGCCTTTTCCAGTGTTTGACCACCCTCTCGGTAAAGAAATGCTTCCTCATGTCCAGTCTAAACGGCACCTGGCACAACTTTGAACCATTGTGCAGTAATGAAAGAGTACCTTGTGCTTAATGTTTTAGTTTGATTTGGTAGAACTGCTTGTGGAATGAGGCATAGTTTAACACTGAGTACTAAGTTCTGGTTAAAATATGTGGAGTGGAATTTACTGGACTTAGCTTGGGTTAGGGCTCTCTAGAGTGAGATGACTGGCCTAAGCTCTAGGCTGTCTTTTTAGTATTGGAGAGAATTGTTCCATTCCAGAGGACAATTCATTTTGTCCTAAGTCAGATGAATTACGTTCTGGTGGTGCTTGTGTCTCCCTAATAACTCTAAAGGAAAGCCATGATGACTAGCTTAGTGCCTAACATTTAGATACTTAATGTTGAATAGGAAGACAGTGGCTCGGAGACTTTACTCTCTTTGATGTGGTCTTCAGTAGGAGGATGATCAAAAAAGCCCCTTCATTCTTTGTCAGTTGGGGAAGCTTTGGACTTTGACCACTATCAAATTCAATATAATATAAGTTTCAAAAATGTTTATGTTCTGAAGATACACA